TATTACACCGAGTATTTTGCAAGAACCCCAGTGTGCCGATGAAAATCTTCTGCTCCACTGCCTGAGTTTGGTGTCTCAGTGAGTGCCTCAGTGCTGCCCCAACTGCACAACGGTTCCCAGGCCAAAGAAGCTTACAGCAAGCCAGGGCACTCTGCTCACGCAGCTGCTCTCTGAGGTACCCATCAGGTCCTCTGTCACCAGCTGCTCTTCCCAACATCATTAGTTACCACGTATTATTCCTGTTCTCAACAAAGTAATTATGGCTCATCTTAGTCATCAAGCATTGATCCACAAGGGGGGGTGGTCAACTCTCTGTCAACAAGACAACTAGCTTCTTGACAATGATGTCAAGAAAATTAACTAAATAAATATGCATCTCATCAAAAGATGAGATGTTCTCAAGCAGGGCAAATATAGTCAATTGCAGAACATGCATCGAGATCACTACACATTAGCAAAGTCAGCCCTGGTTATTATGGCATTTCAGTATTCTTCACACAATGTGAAAAACACCAAGTACAATTTTTTTAAATTAAATCTTCCAAGCTCATAAAAATAAAATAAAATAATACTGCTGAAGCAAAAAGCAGACATATTTTTCAGCTGACAAATGACTGATTATTATTAGACGTTTTGTACCAGATCTGTAACATAAAATCTCCCCTTTGAGAAATTCTACGGACCTTTCCCAACAATTCTGAGGCACGTTTATGGACAGTATACGGCTTTTCAAAGAAATTGAACCTCAGAATTTTGTTTCTATGACAAGAAATAAGATTTCAACTCTCTGTTTAGGTTCAGGAGACATACTGAAGGTCAATACAGTCTGCATATTTAGACCTCTAGTAGGCAGAAGGTGAAAAGGCAAGTAAATCATCTTAAAAATACAAGAGCCCAGCCATAAAAATCTATTGTTTATCCTTTACAGTGATGATATTTTACTTTCCAAATAAAAATCCCAGTTGTCCAATGAACAGAATTATTGAAGTAACTCTACCACACTATTTTAATTTCAGGTATTTGAAAAAAATGATACCATAAAATGATCTGAAGTATTGTTGTCGCATAAATCTCAAAGCACTTTCCGTGTTCTTAATGTTCAAGTCTAAAATTGTTTCATTCTTTAGCTGACAGTGCACACTGTAAAAGTTGCAGTTTATCACTTCTCTTTCATTCTTTTCCAGCAGTTACATTACCACATCCTCTTTTATTACTATTGCAGGATGTCACTATATAAGTGACATCATAAGGGAAGAACAAGGATTTGCCAGTAATAGTTGGAACTGCTCTGCAGTGCTACAGAGCTCTACATTTCAGAGAAAAGGAGACAAGCTGACATTTTAGCATGCTGAACATGTGCACTATCAAATCTATTGCCTGTCACCACAGTCCCTTGGATGGGATAAATTATATTCCACAGTTGGGTAATACAAAGGTACTTCTGTTGCCATATGCTGTGCGCCAAAGACCTCATGCCATGACTGGGCGCGTTATAGATCATGCTTTCCTATGTGATGCCCATTTTCTCCCTTATCTATGAGGGACAAACCTTGTCTCCTTTAAGATTTTAATCTACCCAAAAGAAAACAATGCCTCCAACAAGCTGGAAATGCAATTCTGCTTAAACAAAGCTTAGAGAGAGACAGACAGACAGACGGATGAAGAGACAGAAAAAGCCCAATGTTTTTTCAAATTTTGAAAATGACTAGCAATGTCCTGTTATACATTCAGAATTCACTACATATCAATCTCATGGGAATTCCAGCCCCAGCTCTAAATAAATAAGTCAGAAATAAATGGAGTCAAGAACCTTGTGATCAACTTCACACATTTTCTATACCAGAAGCTCTGCAGTATTTTTGAGTTTCCTTGGTTGGTTGATTTCATTGGCAGCAGCTCACACATAAAGAAAAGAAATATCATGAGAGTAGAAAGAAAATAGGTAGAGCCCTCTAGAGCATGTTTAAGAGATTTTGCTTGTCTGTTCAATTTATTACTAGATTTCATTATTTAGCAGAAGTAAATTGAAGTGGTTGATAATATGCCACAAATGATTTCACCCATCAGCATCCAGCTCAGTTCAGGAACAATCCAAAGCGACTGTTGCAGCACTAGTGCTTATCACTGGAGAGAAGGAAGGCCGGTTCTAAGTCCTTCCCAAGGTAAGGAAATGACCACATCACGTGTCACCTGAGTGAACACACAGGCTTCATCTCACAGAGCATAAATAAAGGGAAGTACATGTTGTGCATTACTAGAAGTACCTAACACCTCACAGGAGGAACACTTCAGAAGGTGCTTGGCTTAGACGATGAATGCACATACAAACATTTCTCATATTCTAAGAGATTCAAATAAAATACATTCCCTAACGTATGCCACGACAGGGTACATATGCTATGTGCAGCCATATGTACTAATAGCTCATTTGCTTCAGTAATTTTGTTTAAACTCTGGGAAGCAAGAAATTTAGAAAGGGCAATGTAAGTTTTGCATAACAATGGCCTCTGCAATGCAAAGACTTGCTATACAAAAACATCTGGGGTTAATGAACAACAACAAAAAAAAAACAAAACAAAACAAAAAAATCTTTATTACCAATTTGTTCAGGTATAGAGAGTCTTTGTTACATTAATTTCTCTTAATCCATACACCAAGAAAGAGATTGAGATATACTTCCAAAGAATCTTGCAGCAGTGCGAACCCCAGCCCACACCTGAGGCTTCAGATACACTGTTGGCAGACTGTGGAGTCAAGCAATACACACACTACCTGCCAAAGGCAAGCTGCCCTGATAGAATGCCAACTCCCATGGTAATCTTCTTCTCTTACCTTCTTAAACAATGAATCCAGGTATTTGTCATGCCAGTAGACAGTCGTAAGCTTCACCCCAATTTCAAGGTTACTAGAACATAGACCTTTTGATTTAAGGCCCTTTGCCTTCAGCTAAAATAGAGCTTACTCTAATTATCTTCATTATAACATCCATAATTTTGGGCTCCCGTGGGCACTAAGGGTGTAACAAGGATGGCATAAATTTTTATATCCACTGACCTCTAAATTAGCACAAGCTTATTTCAGTAGAAGAGGGTACAAAGTAAAAGAAAGTCCTTGCTTTCTGCATCCTTCACAAATGTGTGAGAGAAACTTTGTGGGTAGGTATGTGATTCCATGTCATCTGCATGTCTGTTTCTCAGTGATACAGACAGCTTATGGACCAGATGCTGCATGAGTTCAGGCTGTTTTCTGCACTTCATGGCCACACTGCCATAAAATGCAGAAAGGTTTATGGCTACATTGAAAAACATTCTCACATCAAATAATTCAATTGTAATAGCTCCTGGACACCACCTCTCTCTGTAAACTGTACAGGAGTTACTCATAATACAGCCAGAGGGACTGAAAGCATCAGCTGGTCATTTACTGTAAGAAAACACTGTGAAACCTTCCTTAGCTTTGGGGGTCTTCATTTACCCTAGGGTTCCCAAGACAAGAGAAATGTAAGAACGGAAAAAGTGATCAGGGTGGGGAAATTATTATTGCTTCTTTTCAGCTGTAAGAAATTTCACTGAAAAGCTAAACATTGTCCCTAAATGCAGTCTTTTCTAATAAACACACCCTCTGTTGTAGAGATTCAGTTACCATAGTGAAATAATGAAAAAATGGACACAGCAGCATGTGGGCAGTGGGCTGCTATTTACTATTTTGTTGTTACATTCTTAAGTTATTTATCACAAAATAAGATGAACGAAACCATTGCCTCTTTGTGCAAGGTGTGACACAAATCCAATAGCCCCTTTTTGAAAAACAAAACAGTAGAAGGTGCAAGCAGATAAAGCATTAAAAGAGAAGTAAATGTAATAGCAATATGGAGAATATCTGAGAAAAAAAAAGTTTGTGTTCGGTAAACATTTTACCTAGGACAGACTAACATATATGATTCAGATATTTAATATGAATATTTACTATCTAGAACCTGGCCAGAGGTTATTACATTTATTTCACGTATTCCGCCAAAACCTGACAGACCACCTACTCTTAAGAAAATACTATGAGTGAAATCTGATAGGATTTGTTACTTCTGTATTTCTCTTTTTCATTTTAGCATGCCCTGCTAGTCGGCAATTACTTCCTACTGTACAATCTATTAAATATTCATGTGAGATATTATTTGCATAGAGCAGCTTTTCTCTGATAAAAATATGCTATTCATTCACTGCTTAGATGATTGACCTAAGGTCCCAACTTTAAACACACAGTTATATTGATTGTGAAAATACACTTGGAAAATTATGTAGTTTATATGCATGCATTACTTACACTGAGTCATCCTGAAGCTTATAATTTAAGCCTCAGTGTTTCAGGTAAAATAAAATTGCTTCAGTAAGACTGCTTTGATTTCAGCTTTGCTCCAAGCTTTGCCAGGCAAGCAGAAAATCTTCATCGTATGAAAGATCTTGTTCATATAGAATGTATAGTCGTGCATTGATAAAATCGTATGCATGCAAACCATACCAAGCCTTTGTCCAAAGACTGTTTTACCAAACCTTTTTTTATCTTATGTAAATAAGCCTATATCTTATATTAATGAAAGCTCATCATAAATGAACAATGAATTTAGATTTCCAAAGTACTGCTGTGACTATTGCATTATACATAGCATAGAGAAGACAAAGAAAACTAAAGAGCTTCCTTCAAACAGGAATAAAATCCCCAAACTAAACCAAAAGAACCCTAAGGTACAACAGGAAGATAAGTTAACAGGATTTACACTAAAAAGAAATTTACTTCTTATGAGTGTGTCCCCTTGAGGAAGAAAAATTGAAATACCCCCAATTTTTAAAACCTTATCTGCATTTCATTTTTCTGCCCTTCCCACTACACTGGAACAGTTTAAGAGCACAAACATTAATAAAAAGGGGAGGGGGAGGGGGAGTGGGGAAGGGGGAAGTAGACATTCTTTGATTTCCTTTCTCTTCTGTCTGGATTTTGCTACCTTCTTACCTCCAGTCAGCTGATAATCCTTCCTAGGTCCTCTCCACCTCCTCTGTCTCTTGTCTCCTTGCTCTCTCTCAAGTCCCTTCTGTTTTCTCCCCATCTCTGTCATGGTCTCTTTTGGAAGACATCATCTCTATTATGGTATTTCACCATAAAAAAAATCAGAATAATGAGGCAAATTACAGTTCAACTGCTAGAGGAATGAGATTATCTTGGCGGTGTAGCTCACTATGACAGGAAATCCATGTCGCAACGAAGCCTGCTCACCTTTTAAGTCTCACTGCTCAAGGTAGATCTTGGGTTGTCTACAAGCCTTCCTTTGCTGCCTGCGTGCAGATAAACTGCAATCACTCTGCAATGCCATTTCATTTCAGGATTTACAGGTCATTCTACTGCAGATGTAATCAAAATGCTGAGCTAAACCATGTGTTTGAAGAACAGACTCCCTTCTAAAACTTTGGAATAGGCCTAATATACTGGGCATGTCTGTCCAGAATAAAAAGTCAGGAATATGGTGTTCTCCTAAATCATAAATCCAGGGGAAAAAAAAAAAAAAAAAAAGTTCTCTGAAGAGATATAAAGCTAATATTTGGGGTATGCAATATTCCACATGCTAGCCTGATGAGTTCTATATTTTACCTGATGTTCTCATTTAGTTCTGTACAGACAGTAAAAACGTTAACCTCCCTGGAAACACTGGCAAATTCCTGCTGAGTTCTGTTACCTGAGAAACTCACCCACGGTACTGCAGGGTTATGGAGGTTGCCTGGCTTACTTTTCTTTCATTTATCAACTGAAAAGTTTTTGTTTTGTTTTGTTTTGGCTAACAATGATGTTCAGCTGCAGATACTAAGTAGTTCTTTTTTTCCATTCCAAAATCCAACTCTTCCGTGTTCCTATATGTGCATATGCCCTTACTTTCCTTAACCTCTTTCAATTACTCTGTTTCAGTAAAAAGATGAAAAATCCAGGGAACATATAATCAAATTGCAATTTATAAAACCAAGTGATAAAGAATTGCCATCATTTGTACTCACAGTGACATGGTGGAGAGCCAAGCACAATCAGCTGTACTGGAAAACAGATGCAGAGTCTCTTATGGGACTGTATAATATACTGAAAGTAAGAATAACAGGTAAGATCTTCTCTCCATTGATGTACTACAGCATATGCATTAAATGCTTTCAATATTAGCTTTTAAATTTTGTTCTAAGACATTCTTACTTCTTAAAAAGAGAGGACAGGGAATTCTAGCAGCATTTATTTTCAGTTTTCAGAATGATAAGTACAATTATAAAAAAAAAAAAGTGACCACATACAGGGGATACAGGCGACAACATAGTGTGAGACCCCACTGAAGATACATGATCTGCATGCTACTATTTTTCTGTTATTTCTTTATATATCATCATGAAGAAACATATCGTGTCTCAAAGAGGAAAGTCTACCTAGTTTTACTAAATCTGTAGCACTAGGCAAGACACAAGTTCCTTATGTGGTACCTCAGCCATCTGCAGATTTAGACTCACATATCTTGTTTCACAGTATATTTATTTAGACTAATTTCTAGTATATTAACTTTGGTATCCCAAGATAGCAAAGTATATATTTCAGTTAATACTCCCCTAATGAATAAGATTCTTCTCAGTGTGGAAAAAGTCTTCTTAACCTGTCCCATAAAATGGGTACCACATTTTCAAGATATGAAGTATGCTATACAAACAAATGAATTTTTATTATACCTTTGTATTTTTCCCCAACATCCAGAACTAGTCAACAGTGAAACCAATCTTCTGCTACTTTTTCTATAGATTTTTACTTTCAGCCGTAAAAAGCTCTTTTCGTTTATTACATTGTTTATTAAATGATTCAGTAGAAATGTTTCCTGATTGTGGTCATTCAAGAGAACACTAAACTACATTAGAACTGGAATACTCTTTCTAAAATGCTCCCAAGTTGATCTGAGGCTTTTTCCCTCACATTTTTATCCAAGCACATTTTATAGCAAGATTGGATGTTTACTACATTGTTCTTGCAATATAGGGAAATACCCATACAATTTTCCAGAAATAAATCTGTAAGAACAATCCACATCTCATGCCAGTGAAAATCGAGAATAATTCCATTAATAATTCTGAAATTATCTCAATGTAAATAATAATTAAGTAAAAGAAAACAAAGACCCTTTTGTCTCCAAGGTCTATTGCTATACAAATAATTAATTAGTTCAGCTTGTGTGCTATGGGCCTGCCTGTCTGACCACTGAGCAATTAAATAAAGTAATTCTAGGAGCTGTAAGTGGTTGCTTCTGGAAAACATACTCTCCTTCAAACCAAAAATATTTCTTAGCAATTCACTTTTTACATCATTATAACCTAATCAGTTGTATGTAGACTTTTTGGCATCACATCTTGCATTGTTATAGCAATCCATAATTTAGTCTAGCACGAACAATCTTAACAACAAAGTTTGGACACATTCCAGGTAAAAGGGCAAGGGACAATTTCTACCAGACACATTAAACATGCATTCTATCACTAGTTAATATTTCAAGTAAGGGATACACATATATTGAGAGATTACGGTTTTCCTTGGAGACAACTCATAGGCACTATAATCATTAGCTAAATGCCCACCAACTGCATTAGGGAATAAATCACCATTTTGATTTCCCCAAAAAGAATAAAAATCACAAAAACAGGAATAAAGAATTCTTATTTATGGCCTGCTAAGAAAACAAACTGAAATTGTAATATAAAAGTTAGCAGCAGACAAAAAGAAAACATGACAACACATTATGTCATCAGGTATTTGGAGCCCTACCCAAAAACTGTCTTTGGTGTGAGATGAGAAAACTCTACTAATAATAGTTGTTGGAAAGTTACAGAAAAAAAAATAAATATAATGCAAACACCTGAAGGCTCCTCTAACCTTTGCTGGGGATTCAGCAAGGCAGAGATGACTCAAAGCTATCATCAGAACATCCTGTTGAACATCAGGCACACCAACACCGTAACTGAGAAACAGTTTCATGTGCAGGGGAACAGAAAGGACTGTTTTCACAATGTGTTATATTAACATAAAAAAGAAAGAAAAGGAAGTCTAAGCAGTTGAAGAGATATTAAACGTTTTCTTTAAACTTATGTCCAAAAGAATTTCTGTTTTCTACTTTAATTGAGAAATTATGGTTAGGATTAAATGTGTTTTTTTTTTTTTTTTTTTTTTTTTTTTGCAAACCCTATAATAAGAAACCTAAATAAATCAAGGAATTTTTTTTAATATTCCAAAAGCAGTGACATCACTGACCAATGATCAATAATACAATAGCCTATACCCCGATAATTCAGAAAAGTATGGTTACAATTTTTAAAGTTAAGATTCTATTCTGTATTACAGTTTGATGCAATTAGAATTTTAGCCACAATCCCTACAATTAGTTATATTTTAAAACATACAGATGTGTCACAGGGGAGAGAATTTTTGCCTTGGATCATCATCAAAACTGTTCTTTTAAGCAGTCTTTGATGGCAAAAATGTAAGGGGTGGCTCATGTGAGGACTACCATATTCTCACAGAGTCTGAATGAAGAGCTCACATCCACCCAAAGCGCCCTTCCAGTTAGTGTCTGGCTTGTTCAAGGAAGCCTTATCACCCTAGTAGTTGAAATATTGAATGGAAACATGAAATCACAACCAGGCCTTGCAATGCTAGTGAGAATTCCCATCTTCATGTACAGTACTTTGCAGCTGGTCTGAGATATGAAACCGAGGTAACTGTTAATCATTCTAAAAGGTTTGTTTTGCAACTACTGTTAAAGCAGGGGTTCATCAATTCTGTGCAATTAGGTTCAGAAACTACCCTCCTCGCAGGGGAGTATTTAATGCATCTAGACAAACACAGATGTTTCCCAGTAGTCCCTAAATACTCTCGTGTTCAAAGATTCACAACATTCTTCAAATCAGCTATGCTAATCTCTGCTCTCCAGTAGGTTATATCTTGCCTTCAGCAGGATCAGTTCTGTTTAGGCGTAATTGAAAATTATGGTTATCACTAATATTTTCCTCTGTCACCGAATTGATCCAGCCATTATTTCTACAAAATAAAAATAAAAATAAAGTAAATTAAAATAAAATAAAATTTCAAAGGAGCAATGCTGACTGAGAAAAAAATCTGAAAAAAGCAGTGAAGAGAGAGATATATTCATCTCCAATTGTTCCTTTTTATAACTGTTAACCAAATTTCTCCTGCTATTTAATCCCTATAGGTTGTGATTCTTTGTCTTCACTGAGGTATTCTGATAAAAAAATAAATTATAAATTCTATTCTTTTCCCTATTTTGACCTAGGGATTTTCAAAGACCCTTGAGATGTCAAGGAAGTAAAAACTTATCTATTTTTTCCTTTGGCCAGCTGAAACTCAAAATAAATTTTATGCCAACATTGAGGAGATGCCATTCTTCATCTATGCAGACTCAAAAGGATCTCCTGACACCTATTTTGTAGGTCTGATTTTTCTAATGAAAACACAATAATCAGAGTTTAAGTATAAACAGATTAAATAACTGCTCTGGCCTACATCTAAAGAGAGAGAGAGATAATATAATCAGATTCTTAGGTCAACCCTTCTTATTCAGGTTTTCCAAAAAAGTCTTTTGTGATCCAAGTAGTACATTAAATAATAGTATATTAGTTATACGTTGAAGTATACCTAGAGATTTCAGACAGAAGAGTTTACTCAAAAACATAAATTAACTGATATGATGTGGATGCAGGAGTCTGTAACCTACATACCCCATTCTATTAAAAGATCCTGTGTCCGTAGTGGGTTTTCTCCCCTTTTAATAGTTCCTTTATCTCTTTACTCACTTAACCTTGGTTTGAACAGTATAAGACAACTTTGGGAGCACAGGAGGGACTCTGCACTGAGAAGCACATCCCAGCTCATTCACCAGTGAGAGAACAGGAAAGCTAAGTAGGCACTACTACACAAGGAAAGCACAGGGGGTAGATATCACTGGAGGAGAAAGAATGGTCTGACAACAAAATTGTAATTCAGAAGTACCTCAAAGGAGAAACTGGTGAATACTGTTTGTACCTGCAATTCACAGCAAGAGGAAGTGCAAGGTTCAGCTGTAATATAAATACAGTTAAATCATTAGAGGAAGCTCACCAGGCTAATGGCAAGACCAATACAAACTGAAGTACTCCTGTCCTGTTTCATGACAGAGGCACGGTGAAAATTAACAGCAACCTGTGACACCTGGATCTGGGTGGGAGTAGAGCCTGCGACAGTACTACAAGGATATAAATTAAATGAATACCGAAAGAGGGGTAGAAATTCTGAACTGTTTAATATCAGGTACTTCCAACTTCAAGCCTATCCTCTGAATTCCCAAAAGAATGGTGTACTCGGATATAATTTTGAGTAGGTCTGAAAAGCAGGCTGTGATACTGGAAAAAACACCAGAAGGCTCATTTAATACTGGCTGCTCTAAAATAATACCTCATATAAACAAAGGAACAGCCCAGTATTGCTTGTAAGGATCACAGAATCCATCCTGATATGTTTTGGCTTGAGGCGTGTGCTTGTGGTTTAAAGCTAATCCCTTAATCACTGATGTGAAAATTGCTAGGGATACATACAAACAGGATAGATAGGATCCTCAACTCAGCATTGTCTTCTTTCATCTCAAAGAACAAGCACAGTTTGAAGAATAAACAATTAACATTTGATGTTATATACCTAATTTAATTTAGGATAACAGAGTGATATCTTTACAACACACATAATGAAAATGCAAAAAAAAAAAAAAAGAAAAACAGAATAGGTTTTTTTTCAGCTGAACACAGAAAATAAAGTCACTATACAGAGTCTAAAGTTAGGATTTATTAAAGGAAGCTGTAGAATGAATAACATAAAGCCACTATGAAAAGGACCATAACAACTAGAGAGGAATCTGCTCCCCTGTGCTGCACCTGGGGGACAATGCTGTCAGTGGTCCCAACCAACATGGGTTCATGAGGGGTAGGTCCTGCCTAACAAATTTGATTTCCTTTTATGACAAGATCACCCATCTAGTCAATCAAGGGAAACCAGCTGATGGGATCTTTTTGGAC